AGTATTGTAAAGTACATACAAAGATTAGTCAGTGTTAGAAAATAATTTAAAATTTCATTATGAAATCACTGTAAAGAATCACAGTATAATAAAATAAGAACTGAAAGAATTTGTGTGTATATGCAAATGATCCCAGACAGAGAGACACACAGATAGAGGGTAGGTAGATGACAGATGATAGATAAATGATTAATAGATAATAGATAGATAGATAGATAGATAGATAGATAGATAGATAGATAGATAAGGTACATGATACATAGACTGATTGAGAGACCAGAAAATGGGAATATGTTTCAGACTGGCTAATACCTCAGCTTCTAGGTAATGCAACCATTGTTATCTGGACACTGGAGCAGAGAACCAAATAGCTTCCCAGTCCAGGAAGCTCGAAAGTCTCAATCTAAGACTGAAGCTTCCTGGGAAGTTGCTGGTGTTGATGCTTCATCAAAAGGGTGAAGAAGCTGGAGTGTAGTGGTAGTAGCAAAATTCGAACTGACTCAGAAAGAAAAGGCTCACAGGCTGCAAACACTGTTTTCCTCAGACTTCTTTGACAACCAGAGTGCCAACTTCTCGGAAAGAGCCACTAACATTTCTCTCTCCAGCCATGCATTCTCCCCAAAACTCTCTAATTTTCTCACATGTGGATCCTATCTGGAAAGGCCTCCTGAGGTACACAGTGATATTTGAGCATATCTCTCATTGCATTCCAGTTGACTGCAAAGACCAACAGTCACATAACTGACATAATGCTTTCCTTGTTAAACATAATGCTTTCTTTCTTAAAAAAAATAAATGTAAGATCTCATAAATATCATAATAGAATCACTTTTACAGTTTCTTTTTATATTGTCTATGGCTAGAGTCTATTTCCTTGACAACAGAACTTCTACTACTACAGGTTATATTCCTCCGTTTACTTTAAAATTTCTTTTCTTGCCAGGCGTTGGTGGCACACACCTTTAATCCCAGCACTCGGGAGAAATAGGCAGTTAGATCTCTGTGAGTTCAAGGCCAGCCTGGTCTACTGAGCAAGTTCCAGGACAGGCTCCAAACCTGCACAGATAAACACTGTCTTGAAAATCCAAAAAAGAAAAAAGAAAAAAAAACTTTTCTTATGCATTTTCAAGATGGAATCTCACTGTGTAGCCACAGCTGGCTCTTATTTCAATTCTCTTCCCAAATGTTATGTTATAGGTGTGCACCACCATGACTGACGTATCCCAGTTATTTTTATAACTAAGAAAGATCAAATGTGGCATGGGGAGCTTCAGTGCCCTTTAAGGATTTGATTTGGAAGCTTTTTGAAAAGGACAACTAAAATGGCAAATTAGATGTAGTATAAAGATTAAAAGAAAGAGGATAAAATTGTATATATTCATATAAATGTAAGAAATACCTTATTTTTGGGTGTCAATGCTATCACCTTTGAAGGGTGCTTTACATGACTTCCTTCCTTACCTGTGGTGGTTGAGTATTTACAATAAGTGAAGCATTCATTTTCATATTGGAAATAATGGTGAAGCAGACATGAAAAAAAAAAAAAAAAGCAGAAACACAATGATTTGAAGTTGCCAAAATATGCCTGGTAGGGTCCCTCCAGCAAATACGTTCCTTCCCAGGATCTTAGCAAGGAGACTAATTAAGTTCTGTAATCAAAAGACTCTTCTTTGGCTACAAAGGAAAAACATTCATCAGTGTCGATTTTTCTCTTAAAACCATTTCATCTTCCCCTTCTTTGTAGTGATAGGGATATTTAATTATCATAACATGAATAGATTCCCATGGTTTTTGTTGCTGTTACGTAAAACCCTGTTGTAGTTAGTATACGGCACATTGCCAATAATTGGAAGATTCATCATTTTCTCACAAAGGTGAAAATAAACTGAGACATACTAAATGTATCAAAACAAAATTTTTAACCTGGGAAGTATTTTTTCTTATTTTGTTCTTGAATAATTAGCTATATTGTGTCATGATTATATATGCTGTGTACATTAATGTAATCATGTATAGGATATCTTCCAGGCCTTTTTTGTTGATTAAGTTAGAGAGAAATAAAAAGAAGTTGAAAGTCTGTAGAAGTTTGTGTCAATTAAGGAATCCCCGACTGGTGGGAAATCACTTCCAGACATCTCTTCCTCATTAGTCAGCTCATCACAGCATCATGGCAGCAAATCCCTTGGCTCTTGTCAGTGGCTTTAATAACTTCCTCTAAGATGCCCTGTGAAAGGCCTGAACAGTGGTTCTGGAAAACAGATTTTTCAAAGGAAATCCTGTGTCAGCTGAGGAAGCAAGTTAACTTTAGCATTTTGCTGCATGAGAAATAGCGTTTTGCTTTTCTTTCTCAGCAAATGAAAAGTCAAATTATGTTTTCTGTGGAATTGGATGAAGAATGGAATGGATGCTGATAATTGATGGCAGAAATTTGAGAGGCTGTAGCATCACACATAATTTACCTTTATTTGCATAAAGGACAAACAAACATAAATAGTGAATATACTGGAATAGAAAAAGAAACCCTAACTGATCACATTTTGGAGCTTATTCATATAATAAAAAAATTTAAAAAAACAAAATTTCAAGCTATTAGATATTTATTTTGTATCTGGGAACTTTTCCTAACAGTCATACAAGACAGGTGAGAGATTTTTAGTAATGTTCACTTAATATTTTTCAAACTTGTTATGCATATATGTGTGTATTATTATTTATTTCTATAATATTATTCTCAGAAACTTTTCACCCTGGGTTTATAATCAAATGGTTTGGGGGCATATATGAAAAGAGACAAACACATCACTGGGAAAATAATGTATTAGAGTAGGATAACAGGCATTAAAGTTTACACAGAAACCCTGTTTCAAAAGAAAAATAGAATTCACATTTTTTGTTTTGTTTGATTTGATTTAGTTTAAGCAGACTTGGAAATCACTCTCCAAATTTCTATTCATACGTGTAGCCCCCAATGAAATCTGCTATACTTTTTAGACAAAACATTTTTTACATGATAAATAAAGTTCTTGATTTCTTTTGGTCCTAGGTTTTATTTTTAGGATCTATTTATTTTAGAAAAGGATTGGATGACTAAAATATTCAGACACACTAAATACATCAAAGTACTCCTTTAAGATAAAAGGCAAGGTCATGCATCATCAGCAATGGAAGCCATGACTCTAAAAGAGAGTGAGGTGTAAATAGAAGGCTTCTGAGGGAAGACAGGGAAGGGGAAATGGTTTAATTACAACCTTAAATAATAAAAGAAGTAATTTTAAAAGAAGAAAACATTCAAATTTCAAAAGAGCTGATATCATTTCACTCAAACAATATTACCTTCATAGATTAAAATAACAATATAACAGCAATTAATATTAGGTAATTTTTCAAAAACCATGGACTCAAATCGAAGAGTAAATGCAAAAAGAAAAAAATGGGTTCTGCAGCTTTGGAACTCTACACCAGACTAGAATTAGAAAACCTAATGACATACTTGAATCCTACTACTTCACTGCCCAGTATGTTGTAAAGACAAGACAGAAACAAAATGGAAACGTGTGAAATGTTTCTGGTTGAACATGTGAAAGTTAGTTGTATGCCCCTTTTTCTCAGTTATACTTTTTGTCCTTCTGCTTATGCTTACAAGTGACTCTCCCTGTAACATTCAGAAAGTGGGAGGGGGCATTGTCATCAAGTGTAGATTTTTAGTATTTCAGGAAGAGTGCCCACCTTTAGTGTTAGTGAATTTACAGCAGCATAGGAATTTGAGGTTAGCATATTAGTGCAGCTTGATTGTATAAGTTGGTCAAAGTACTCACTTGTTGATTTCCTGGCTGATACAATGAAACATGATGGTTTGCCTTGCCTCGTTTTTTGTTACTTTAAGTGTGTCTGCAATGCACGCAGCTAAGCAGTGTTAGTATTGCTAAGGTATAATTGGACAAGATTCCTCCCTCCCTTCTCTGTCATACCTTCTCCTTCTTCCCTTCATTGTGAACTTTAAATTCCCTGAAGTCCACTATTATAAATCTTAGTGCATGGTCTGCTCTTCTCATTAGATTACACCAAACTCATTCATTCAAGTATCATGATAATATAATTAGTACATTTGAAACATTAACAAGAATTCATTCATTATGCCATAATTAGTGCATATGAAGTATTCACAATTACTTACAATACCCCTTTTGCTTCTGTATTATGGAATACTTCTACCTCTTCCTAAAAGTTACCATGAAATGAAATTGACTACTTCATTCCTGCCTTCACTGGTTTCTCTGAGTTGTGCTGAAACAATGCATCATTTCATTGCCTTCTATCTCAACAGAATGCTATTCTGTGTATCCCCCCTCAAGAGTGTATTAACATGATTCAGTTTTTAGTTACATGTGAAAGCATTCAACTTCACTTCCATTAGTAAGTATCCTATTATACAAATATAACACAGGTTTCCATTTTCATGTTTATGAGAAATTTAGGTATTTTTGTTCATGACTGTTATAAAAATGTTGCTATGAATACCCTCATACTTGTTACATAATTACTTGTGAAAGCTGCTGCAGAGTATGGAATGGAAATATTTAGCAATTAGTCAATGCAAAGTTCACCTTTCCAGGATAGTCCTAAATCACTCTTCCAAGCTGTTTTAACAGCTCTGTATTATCAGCAGTGTATCATGACATGTTTGATCCTAACATTGACCTTAAGACACTGATTTCTGTCAGATGCCTGCAACGTAACACAAGAATGATAATTGGTGTTTCTCAACTCATATTACCCAAATTACTAACAGTGTACAACTCTCATATTTGTTGTAATATGTGTGTTTTCTGATCTTTCAGTGATAAGATTTTAACTCCATACCAAAGATAAACTTTTTAAAATATTTTCAGTTACTGTATTATTTTATTCATAAACTATATGGAGACAGCAGAAATCAATTCTAATTTGAAATTACTTTCATGACTCATTTTTCACAGTTGATATGTTTTCCCCTTTGACAGAACGATTCCGAGATTTACTACTGCCTCCATCTAGCCAAGACTCTGAAATTCTGCCCTTCATTCAGTCTAGAAATTATCCCAAGTAAGTAATGGGAGTTTGCTGGGTGTTAAGAAGGGTTAGAAAGGGAAGGATCAGATGCAGGCAGACATTGGTGCAAAGAAGAAATATAATTGTTCTTTGACATTTGTAAAAATCCTGAGTAAACTAGCCTAACCAGTTATGATCTCACTTATAATGCATGATCTTTGGCTCTTCAGAAGTGGTACAGAAGACCAAGCTCTACCTCTAAGTACAATGAGTTGCTTCTCTGTGCAAGCAAGAAGCCTCCTGTTTAGTGATACTGGCCCCTTATCTTACTTTCTGTTTTTTATTCTTTAAAATAAATGAGGAGTATTTAAATGGAGGTTGTCACCTTAGTTTTGTATTTTTTTTTAACTGACTCATTGCAATAAATTTTTTTGGTAAAAAAATCTTATGACCTAAAATATATTTTCTTCCATGTATTTCATACAAAGGATAATGTCTATGGTGCATATTTTACCCTACATAGACTCACAATTCTCAACCTAGTGTATGTTGCAAGATTTGGCACTTGGCTGAACTATAATTAGGTTGCATGGTTTCCTTTAATTGTTAGCATGCTCTGAATGTGAAAAATGTAACACATCATGGAGAATATAAAAATATGGTCTTCAGTTGAAATATACTCACGAAGTATAAAATGTTACTCATTAATAAAATCTATGTATGTGAAAGTGACACAGAAATATAGAGGATGAAATATTAAGGGAAAGTCATTTGAAAAGCATTTCCTAATGATTCTGGAGAACATTTTTCTAAAATATAACAAAGTTTCCTAATCACATTCTTAAATTCATGAACTTTCATTTGATCCATCTCCAAAACTAGGGGCATCTGTTCTCCAGAATTCAGGCACAGCACAGACATTGCTCTGTAAAAGTTTTCAGAGCGTGACTAGATGTCACAGTTGCGAGAACAAAACATATGACTTAAAAAAAGGAAAAGAGCACTTCCTGCAAAGGACACTGGGATGTGTAGATTAGAGAAAAGAAGCAGGAGTGACAAGTTTGATTGTCAGTCTCCGCTCAGGTCACCATCATGGTGTCTGAAAAGATGCTGTTTTATGATATATATTTGGATGATTTTATTTTATATTATTATCCTTAAAAACAGCTTGTATATACAAAATGTTTGAGGAAATTTGATCACCATCATGGTGTCTGAAAAGATGCTGTTTTATGATATATATTTGGATGTTTTTTATATTTATATTCTTATCCTTAAAAACAGCTTGTATATACAAAATGTTTGAGGAAATTAGACATTATTTAGACATTTGACATTAAATTGGATAATTCAGACAACAAAATATGACCCAGTAGCTCTGGTAGGCTTAGTGCAGATATGTACAAAGTATTGTGAAAGTACAGGAGGAAATTGCTTCTCCTTTGTTTTTGCAAGAATTAAGTCCTATCAGCACCTAGCTAAGCATCACTGATCATAAAGAGGAATATTATTTATGACAGAGTTCAGAAGTGTTTGTGGCTTGACTGCCAAAGAACAACCTTAATTGTTTGGACAGTAAAATCTGAGTCTCAACCCAGTCTCATTTCCAACTGGCTGCTTTAAAACATCTTCAAATGATACTATTGAGTAATATCTCTAAAGCACAAGTCCTCAGATGACCTTGTCAGGTTTCATTTCTTTGCCCAGTAATCTTCCTTTCTCTCCACTGTATTTAGAGTTCTATTTCTAGAAATTCTCTCTCTTCAGTAGTTTTTGTTCAGTTATGAGAAATAAAAATTTTCCAAACATATTGTCATCCATAATAATGAAATATTAGTAACATATAGAATATATTTGTGTGCCAGCAATTATACTATGTGTTTTAATTGAATAATCCCATAAAGTCTTTATCATTTGCCTAGTATTATTATTTTCAAATATTTTATGTCAGAGGATTGAGAAGAAAACAAGTACATGTTATAACCAAGTCATGTGGTGCCATTGGTTCTCAAACCCAGATCTCTGTGACCCCAAATTATAATTAATTATGGTATACTAGGTCCTATTCATTTTTCCATCCACCTTTTTATCCAACCATTCACCAAACATGTATTGGATACATACCACCTAACACTCCATCATAATTACGAATAGTATATAAATGACTAGGGTAGAGTGTATGTATTTGAGGGACCTAGAGTCCCCATGGGGATAATAGGAGTCATCTTAATGAATAGATCATACCAATATGTTAAGGCATATGTAGGGAAATATTGAATTATATTGATAAAGAAAAAAGAAGCACCCTTCTAAATATATAAAGTTTAATTTTGTTCTTGAGTAAAATTGTCCAAATGAGAACTTACTTAGTCAAATCCAAGAGTGTATTGCATTGGAAGTCATTGAAATGCTTGAAAATCTCAACCCAGCTGATGATTGTGTGGTTGATGTACACATCTGTAGGCACACTCTAGAGAGAAGAATATAAAGAGAAATGAAGATGGTTCAATCTGGCCTGCCATTTAAAGGAACTTGGACTTCATTGGGATGACACTGGAGAGTCATGAGAAGACTTTAGGCAATGGGAATAAAAGTATATATTTTTATACAATTAGCACGGGTCAAAAGTAAGATATGAAACATTGTCTGAGGTCACCATAATCTCCAATAAAAATTCCACATTCATGTAGCCAGCCATCAAAGACCCATGAGGTCCTTGTTATATGAAATATTCACTGGCTATCATGGGCTATCAGGAGGCACAATCAACAAAATGTAGTGGTGACTGACTAGATGGGTGAAGAAGAGAGAAATGGAGCATTTTGAGTGACTGCAAGCTTTTTTACTGCCCTTACGATGGGAAATAAATGACAGTTTCTATGACTATCTTTCTTTTCTCCTGTATTTTGATTGTAAATAACAAAGGTGCTTCCTGTTTACATGAATTTGAGGAAGGCACAATGTCTGTCTTAATTCTATGTTTCACAGCTTTATGCTATTAAAGCAAATGCTGTAAAACACATGGCCTATATAAAGAAATGAATTCTCATCCTATTCCTTATTTCTCTTTGTTTTCTGTACTTTCTCAACCCTAAGCCTTGCCTCTGAGCATCAGGAAATATCTGTGTAGGATCTGCTTACTGAACTCCAATCTTGATGCTGTCATGGAGATTACTCTTCTTCCCAAGAAAGATGACCTGTTCATAGGATCTCTTTGCAGGATAATTAGTCAGGATGAAGCCCTTCCTATTGTGTTCCTGCTTATGTGATATGGGTGCTATTTTAGAAGTTTCTGCAACCACAACTATTTATGATGTTCTTTACAACACAGACTATTTTAATACTCCCTTTCATTGTTGGGAGTGACTCAGTGGTTAAAACACTTGATGCTCTTGCAGAAGACCTGAGAGTTTGGCTCCCAGTATCCACATCAGGGCATTTACAACAGTGTGTAAGAAATCAAGGACCTCATACCTCTACAAACTCCTGCCCTTACAACATGCACATATTTACACAGACATGCAAACACATAAAATCAAAAGTAAAATAAGTCTTTTTAAAATGAAAAAAGCAAACTGAGAATTAGTCTCTTGTCTTCACATCCCTACACTGTGGACATTTGTACTAGTGCGATTCTAATACCTAGCTGACAAGAAAACTAAGAATAATAACTTTTTGACTTGTATGTAGAATTAAATCATGAATATTCCTGATGCTATTAGTATTCATAGTCTAAGGAAGAAATATGTCAGAAGGGAGTTAGTCTGTTAATATTAGCAGGTAGTAAGTCACAGGGCCCTGAGATAGAACTCACGATTAAAATCTCCTCTTTTTGCAACTTTAGAAACCTGGAAGAGCACTACTAAAATCAAATGATTTTACAAAAACTGCGGCACTGATAAAATTTTAAGATTCTGTTTAAGAGATAAGTAAATCAAGGAGCTGGTAGTTGAAAGCCAGTAAGCAAACAAAAAGGACAACATAGTGACTGACAAGAGTAACTCAGACTTACTCATAAGAACCAGTTCCAGAGGGTCCCCGGGAGTCAGCTGGCTGGAGGTTAGCCTGATGCCTCTAACACTCTGAGGATGCAGTTGTGTCTAAAGAGATAGGCGTTGTGATTTGGCATCTGCATTCTTGGGAGGCTTTGCTGGTTTGTCCCTTCTCTGTTATTATTACCTGCCAGATACCTTTCAGTGTCTGCAGACTTTAGGTTTGTGAGGTTTTTGTTTGTTGGGGGCTTTTGATTTGTTTCTGACTTGTAGATTTTCCTGAAATTCTTCCTTTGTGAAGAGATCTTAAAAATCTAGCTTGGATGATTTTCAGTGCTACCTGGCATGTATGAACCCATGGCTTTGATCCCCAACATGAAAAGAAAACCTAAATAAATCTTAAAAATCCCATGTTGGTGTCTTTGGATAGAAACCACCCTTTTTTAACATAACAGTGTTTCTTGCTCTTCAAAATATTCTCAGCTCTAGACAAACAGAAAGTTATCAGACTTAATCCATGACCTCAGCTGCAATTGATGAAATATGTTCTATAAATGAATACTAAAATATGTTAAAAGGCATTCTTAAATGAATGTGTCAATTCATAATGGATATAAGAATATAATTTCAAGAATATGTTTGTTTTATGGTACTTCCTTTCCAGAAAAATTTTATCCTTACAGGCCCTTCAATGATAAATGGTTTTTGTGAAAGATTTCTTAACACTTTACTAGCTGTCTTTCTTCCCTTAAGTGAATATTGCAGTCCAAATCTCTTAACAAGGTCTTGCTTGTTTGCTTTGTATCTCTGTATCTCAAGGCTCAGTGACTCTTAGGTACACATGTGTTTTAATGAAGTGTACCACTGAGTTAAGTCTTTTGACCTCTACATAGTTTTAATCCAAATGTCATGGGCTTCCATGACCTCTCATGATCAGTGTATGCAAAATTATCACCTGCACTAGATCAGTTCTGCTGGGGATATCATGGTTGCTGTGAGAGCTTCCTGTCTTAGCTTTTATCCAGGATACTAACCTTGAATAGACCATCTTGGTGTAAGGCCCAGTTCTGTGTGTTTTAATAAACCCTCCAAGAAATTCTGATGCACATGTTTGCAACCCATTAAAGCAAGGCAGATTTTGAAGTCCATCTCAGGTTTTTAATGCTCCTTTGACACTTTTTATGGCTTTCACTGCTGTAATTATCTCCTGGGTGATCTAAACTGCAAGTCCATCATCTCCTGGGGAGTAGTTAATCATAATCATTTTTCTCCCAGATGAGGAAGAAATTGTTACCTGATGGATTGTCTAGGGCTATATGCCCTTTATTTGCCTAACCAAAATAAGTGGTGATTGACAGGCATGATTAATGTTTAGTCATTAAGGAAAGGAATACGAGAGATAGATTCAAAAGGAATTTAGGGATGATCTTTTCTTTAAATAGATGTTGTTGTCTAGGAAAAGTCAATGTTTCAGAGTCTGAATTCTCATTAAAACAAAATGGAAATTTACTTTACCTGCTTTAAGTTATTTTGTGACTCTAGAGTGAAGGCATGTACAGGATAATCACTACAATTTCTGGAAAAGATTACATTTTAAATAAACAGTTTTTATTTTGATGATATTTTGTTTCAGGCTCTGAGGTAATACTTAAATCTGCTGCCCCTTCTGGCCTCCAAAGGGAACTGCATACATGTGGCATATATTGACATGCACAAGTATACACACACACACACACACACACACACACACAAATAAAAATAACAAATCTTAAAAGAATGTAAACAGTTTTTTTAAAGTATGCATTTAAAATAGCATGAAATGGCTGTATACAGATCATAAATTTTTGTCAGTAGTAACTATAGCATGTTTGTTTTAGTATGGTATATGTCAAAGTTCCATGTAAAGACTTATTTCGTACTTGAAGTAGAAATGTGTGTTGAACATAATAAAGTTGAAGTATAAATTGATGCCTACAGCAACAACTCTGGAGCACCCATGGGACCGAACTCACTCTCTGCATGGATGAGACAGTTGTGTAGCTTGGTCTGTCTCTGGTGCACCTGGAAGTAGGACCAGGATCTATCCCTGGTGCGTGAACTGGCTGTTTGGAGCCCATTCCCTTTGGTGGGGGAATGTCATACTCAGTATTAATGCAGAGGAGAGGCACTTGGTCCTCCCCCAACTTAATGAAGACTCCATGATGATAGTTGGGGTATTCACCAATCTGATTACAGGGGAAGGCCAGTTCAGTTTGGGCACCCTCCCCACTATTTCCAGGAGTCTTATCTGGGGTCATTCTTGTGGATTCTTGGGAATTTCCATAGTACCAGGTTTGTCCCTAACCTCACAGTGGCTCTATCAAGATATCTTTTTCCTTAGTCTGGGTTACCTCACTCAGGAGGGTTTTTTTTTTCTTCTCTAGTTCCATCCTCATCTTTAATTTGCTATAATATCAGTCTAATCCAGAGAGGCAATAGCAAATGCCTGGAGAGAAGATTTTTGAAAACTGTCTCAAATGACTGTCTAATCAACTCCATCTTAATAAACAGCTAAAACAATTTATAAAATACAAATGTAAATTATTTAAGAAAGAACTTTTTTTAAAAATGTAGAATGTGCATATGTAGTTTGGTGTGGCTCATAGTAATATATGGCTCCTTCTCTTACATATGCTGTCCTTCATAATAGAACGTTTCCCACTTATCAGCTGACTATCTCTATATCTCAATTGCAACTTTGTGGAAGTGAACACTTACATTTAGTCACTATAATCTTGTCACATATATGATAATTGTAAAATCTAGGTACTAAAGGCCATTACTACTCATATATGAAAGCCAAGGTATTTTGCACATTAACCAACTTAAATGCTTAAAACATATAGATTTAAGCTATTTTCTTGTCTCTCTCTACCTCTCATAAAAAACTAAGTCTCATTGGGTAACCTGTCACTAGTGATTCTGTAATCATCTTTTTCCTTCACCAATGATTGGACACTCTGTGTGTGTGTGTGTGTGTGTGTGTGTGTGTGTGTGTATGTGTGTGTGTAGTGTGTATTGGCAGTGGGAGATTGAGCAGTGGATACTAAGTTACAGTTAAATGAGTGGGAGTTTCTTCTGTGCTGCTGCACAGTCAGGTTACTATAGGTAATAGGTGTTATATACTTTTAAAGATAGTACACAGAATTTGGGATTCTGAATATATTCACAGTAGTAAAGTAATAAATGTTTAAGTTAATATGACTAAGCTAATTTAAATGTTTCTTAGTAAATTTATGTTTCAAAATGTTACATGGGAACTTGTCTATATGGAAGACTTGTAATTAAATGCTACCAATTTATAACAAATTGTTAAAAGTGTTCTGAATGAAAAGCAACTGATTCGCAGCAGTCCATCATAGCAAATACCTACCGCTCCCATGTTGTTTTGAGCTTAGTTCATTTCTTCTGTTTGTGCTGTGCCTCATCCCAATGGCATACCATAGACACACTGATATCATAAGTAGAAACTGTCTCTGATGTTTGTGTTGCATTCTACAATTCCTAATAGGTTTTCTCTGTGTCATCACATCTTGTCTCTTTTACAGATGAAGGAAATGGTGTTTGAACATGAACCCTAGAACTTGACCTTGCTAAATCTGTGATCTCATTCCTAGTAAGTGGCTGGAACTTCAAGTTCTAGTGTTCATGTTCAAAGCTATTACAAAGCACCAGAGAATAGCTATGTGAGGAGGGAGGAGGATGTGTTGTTTTAGAATGAGACACTTAGCACAGAGTTCTTTTTGATGGCTCCTTAAATTATTTGTTGACGAAGTATAAATATCACTGGTGAAGTTTGCAAAGAAAGTTTCTTCTTTGAACATATCAGTACATTCAATTAGTTTATCCTTCATCTAACTCATTTGGTGTGGCATTCAGATGAAGATGAAAAAAATTGTAGGATAGGTCTCAAGTTATTGTTAGTCTTCAGTGAGAAAACCCTTAGTCATACTAGTAATTCATACATAGTTTATGTTTTTTGCGTAAATGTAAGATTCGAGTTAAGTAGACAGGATAAAATTTGCATATGTAACTATGTAAGGTATTTAGTAATAGGATGTCTTCCTACATTAAGCATATCAACTTGGGGGATTGTTTCTTTAGGTTAAAGGGGTTTTCATTTCTTCCTTTACTAGATACAGTATTTTAAGTGCCACATTTACAAGTTTTCTCTCAGGATAACACACATTTGTTACCTAGGATGGCCTGAGTTCTGTCAATGTGAATAGTTAACCTTGATATAGAACTTCAATGTGGTGCAAAGTGGTGAAGCACTAAGGGAATTGGTTTTCTGCATATGTAGCATCTTCTGTGGGTGGTGGGAATCTCTTGGATGGCATCCTTCAAGCAGCAATGTAGATTCAGTCTGTTTATCACCTATTGGTCAACACATGGTTTTTAGATGCAAAGGATGGGAAATGACATTTGTCTGTCTGAGATAAAGCAAATTGTATCTAGAACTCAATAAATAGAACTATCCAAGTAAGCCACTATACTCACAGATACCTGGAAAATAGAGGCACTCATGTGAAAGTGAAAAGCAAAATCAAATACAAGCAATAACTAAGAAATGTCATGAAGCCCAGAATTTTAGAAATGCCTACTCATGAGTTTATTTTGCAGACATTTAACAGACACCTAATCATTAACTTCATACACATATAGTCTTATGTGGCTTTCTGTTTAAGAGGTGTCCAAACATAAATAACATGTAGACAACCTTCTATATAGGTATATTGTTTGAATGGATATAATGGAAAGGAGTTACAAAATGGTAATGTTATATATACATGGGGTCTATGTTTCTTTCTTGACAAGATATCTAAAATGACACAAACCATAAAGTATGGTCTTTTCACATTAATCACCAGTAACTGTTTTGTACTCTTTTGACCATAAAAATGAACCTTTCAGACATTGGGTATGCAGAAGAAAGGGTAGAAGAGTCACAATACCCAAGTGAGACAGCGTCTCATAATAAGCCTTCCCAGTTCCAAATTCATTTGCCTCATATTTGCCAAAACAGCCACTCAGTCAAAACAGATGAATGGAATTTGAGAAATGTGGTGTTTTTTGGCTGGACATTTGCTTCTCTGAATAAAGTCATGGTCTGTTACTAAGAAAAGATGGATGGATACTAAGTGGACAATTCGTGATCTCTGTTTACAGTTGAACACAAGCACGCGCGCGCGCGCACACACACACACACACACACACACACACACACACACACACGCAATGCGCACATGCATGCACACATACACACACTTATGTAAGCACACACAGAGCAAGGGCAATTTCTTTTGTGATTTCTTCATTATCTCCTGTACTTATTTATTTAACTAGGGCAAGAGAAGGAACAATGTTAGATTCTTCTCTTTCTACCTGTAAGTTTCTGTCCCCACAGTGCATATGTGAGTAAATATGTCTGACAGATTATTTGCTACTAAAGGGTACACTATCCAGTTTCAACATAGTGAATAGACTAGTATTTTCATTTTGTCAGTTATCAAATTAAAATATGATCAAAGCTTTAACTGATCACTGCTCTTTCCTAAACTTTCAGTTAATTTAGAAATGGATGGAAGTTCTTGTTTTTCTATCAGTAGTTCAAAATGAATTACTTGTTCATTTGCACTTGTCACTGTAAGAAATAGTGAGATAATGCCTGAGCCATCAGAATACATAGAATTTGGATTCAGCATGAATGGCTGATGTTAGAGAAAATTAACTTATTTTCATTTTTCCAACATTTGTCTGCCCTCTCTATAGGTTGTACATTGATGGTCCTTTTGGAAGTCCATTTGAGGAGTCACTGAACTATGAAGTTAGCCTCTGTGTGGCTGGAGGCATTGGGGTCACTCCATTTGCATCGATACTAAACACTTTGCTGTATGTCACTTTGATCTATTTTATTCCTCAAGATAGAGAAATTTCGATATGCAAAGAGTTCTAGTTCACATATAGAATAGTTCTTTACAGAGTTTTCCCGCTCACTCTTCAAGAAATTCCATTTTCCAATTAGTGAACGGGAAAATTCAATAACTCTCAATACATAGTATGTAGCTCCCAGCATGCTGCCTGTAAAAAGAAAACCATCTTCTTTTCCCATTAAGAGTTACTCACCCTCAGCCTTCTTTCTTGACCTCCTCATGATGGTATCACTGTGCATTCCTTTGGGAACAATTATTTTGTGATGTCTTCATGACAATCTTAGAGTTACTAGGGATAAAACAATGAATGGAAACATGAACTGTGCTGTTAGAAAGTCCACATTTAATTAGGGCAACTTATAAAGTAATAAGAAATTTATAAGGTGGATTATTTCTGAAAATATCAAGCACAAAGAAAAGCTCTCTAAAGGTCAGAGAGTATTTTAAAAGAGGGAGGCAGAAAGAAACAGATTATAGAGACAACGATGGAAATGTCTTCCTCCAGATAATATGTGACTATTGCAATCATGCCTCTGTGAGTCAGCAGAAGAATGTACATATCCATAGCAAAGTATGGGTGAAGGAGTGTCTCTGGTGGTCCTCCCATCATTGCCAAACTACATGCTACTGATAGACTCAGCAAAAGAGAGAGAGACAGAGACAGACGGACAGAGACACAGAGAGACAGAGTGACATCGCATTCACTTTTGTGAATGGAGTCTGGACACTTCCAGACTCCAATAGTTAGTTCAGTCCTATGGTCACAAAAATGGGCCTGGTTAAACTAAATGGGCCACAGTTCAAACAAGAGGTGTGAATCTGGGAAAAGAGTTGATAGGGAAATAAGGGGGCTGATGGTGATAGAGGGAGAGAAGATAGGATTAGGGGGAAGTGTAATCAGAATGCATTATAAGCAAAAATGTTGACTAGATTACAAAAACAATTGTCTGGGGTAATTATAAGGATATGTTCAGGGAAAGCTTTTATGAGAAGATGATGAACACATCATCACCTCATCCCTTCATTTATTAGCAAATTTACAACAGACTGAAAAATAAAAAAGAAATGTCAAAGTTGAGATTGCCCAACTGGGAAATACTGAGAGTATTTTAGTTTCAGGATTATAAACAAAGGTTAATTATCACCATAAAAATACAAAGTGACAGCAAAAAGATGCTCCCAGGCTGTTTCCATTGGCTACTCAAGTAGACGAAATTCACCTTTAAATATTTGAGGGAATATTTTAAGAAGAAGGAAGAAGACACAGCAGCAGCATGACTCCTTGGCTTAGTGAGGAAGGTCATGAGTTCAAGATAAGCTTGGGCTACATAGCTAGACCTGTCTCAAAACAAAGTATAAATGAAAGATATTTTTGAATAATGTTTTATTTAATTTTCAAGTATTAAACTAGATGTGATTTGGGGACATGTTGGAGACTCTTACAAAAATAAGCATGTTCCAATCCAGAAATCATTTGTTTCTGACAACACATTACAAGTTATTTTCATACTCAGTAGTATGAAAAAAGGAACATTTTCTTAACCTCAAGTCTGCTTCATAGTCATAAGTAGGCATCCAGACTTGGAAATGAGAGTGGCTGGAATGTATTACATAGTGTGTGGTTGTGAAATTTTTATTAAATTATTATTATGAACAGGATAAACAACCAAATTTCTGGAATGGTTCTGCCTAAAAGTGAGGGCAAGTCTGAATAACCTTTTGACCCCCACACAATGATACAGTTCACTGAAATGGAGAACTTGTTTTTCTGAGACTCATGAGCCAATGTTCTTCTGATCCAAGAGTTCTGTTCATGGTCTTGAAGTGGAAACAGGTGATGTGCATATAATACTGACAAATTTAGCAGTTGATGACATGTTGGAGTTAATGTATTGTTTACCATAACTAGCAGTAATAGTAAATATTGTGTGACATGATGACATGGAAGTGGTTGGGTTTGGGATGTTAGTTTGCTTCTTGTTGGCTGCTTATGAATGAAAATGTTCAAGAGTAGGTAGATTTTGTATTGTTTATCCAATCCCAGTCACAACTTCACTTAATTGATTTTAAAGGGATGACTGGAAACCATACAAGCTAAGAAGACTGTACTTTATCTGGGTATGCAGAGACATTCGATCATTCCAATGGTTTGCAGACTTGCTCTGTATGTTGCATAACAAGGTAATGTCAGGATGGTCATTTTTTTTAATTATGTAGTTTTCTAAATAGTATTTATTTTTATATTTTCAAAGCAGGAAATGCTTGCTATAGAAAAAAGATCTCTTCTATCTAAAGCCAAAGGTAACATATAATAAAAACAGATGTACATCTTCTCAGATGTGAATATTTGTTAATATATGTGTGTTTTTACAACATACTTTTACACATATTTCTACATTTTGACATAAAGTACTCAACATAGATGGATATATATGCACATGGCTAGAAGTGATGAGAGAAGATAAAGGGACCACCGCAGACACTACAGCATCTTCTAAGCTCACTTACCAAAAATTTGTTCAATATTTTTTAATGTTATAGTCAGCAGGTTCCTTAACACACATACATTATTAAAAATCAAAATTTTTATTTATTGCTCAGAAATAATAGTATGCATCCTTCACTTGCCCTGCCAGTAATACTTTGTATTCATATTTATTGAAAATACATAAGTAAAGTTTATATTATGTGAAATACTTGCTACAAATACTTCAGTTGAGTAAAGTAAAATCTCTCTTGCTAATTTACCTACCAAGTCTATGTCACTATAATTAAGAAAGCTATAGTATGTTAATTTTTTCATCAAATTATTTTAAAACCTATAGCTACATCGTAAATGCTGTGTGACTATTAGTGAGCATAGAATCAATTCATTGTCTTTAATAATATGGAGAATTCCATGGCTCACTGTGACTGACTTATCATTCCCTTACTGTTAGCTACTTTGTAACTGTAAAAAGTTTTTCAGTGATTATCATTCACATACCTCGTTGCATTATGTTTTTCATGGAATCAGTCTTGTTATTATCCAGCAAATATCATTAACTGTCAACTGTGAATTAGGATCTGTCTTTGGATCCAAAGATATATTAGGTAACAAAATAGTAAAGTTTTTTTACCTTTATTTTACTAGTAATAGGATAGACAACTAAAACAGTAAATATGCACTATGTCTGATTCTGAAATTTCAGTTAGGGCCAAAAAGAAAAGGAAAGTAGAAGTATGTCAATGTTGCAACAGAGCGCCTGTTTACTTAAGGAGTGTGTTCAGGAGTGTCAGTCAAACAAAATTCTGTGGCAATACAGGCAAGAGTGGATTGACTAAGCAAGGATCTTGGTAGCAAATTCAAGACAGGAAATTCAACATTACAGGAAGTACTATGATACTGTCATATGTTTAATGCAATAGAAGGAAAGGAGGGAGGTCTGTAACATAAGAAAAGGCAATAGACTCAACAGGAGAGTTGTGTTCATGTGTTTATGCATGTATATCTATTCATTTATGAATGTGTGTATGTAGTACTCTAGGCAAAGGTAGATTGCAGACTTTATGTTAGAAAAGGAGAGTTATAAATACAAATTTACTATTATTGAAGATGTGGACTTGTACAAAGTATTCCTAGAAGTATTATTCACAATATTCCAAGAAGCAAACATCTCTTATATGACTGATGGAAAAACAAAATAGAGTGTATTTATACACTAAAATTATTTAACCTGAAAAAGAGAACTCTGACACATGCTAAAACCTGGGTGGACTTATTTACCCATTGCATTTAGAAAAGAACTTAGAAAATACACATTTCTTTATTGAATAAATGTGTTACTTTGACCAAGAATTTCAGATTAGCGTTTTTACTTGAAAAACAATAATTACCTAACCTAACAGCCAGAATGCAGAAATCATTATTACTGTTAGTTGACTAATTCATTAAATGGGTGGGCCACTGTTCATCATATAATTACATAGTTTATGGTTAATCAGAAGAAATTAAGATGAGATAAACTCTAACAAAAAACACTCTGATAATTGAAGTGATGTAATCCAAATACGAAAGGACGGATACTTTATGCCACCATTTACATGAGGTACTTGGGATAGTTCACTTTGTAATTAGTTAACATAGAGTAATAGTTTCCAGGTGAGAGCAGGAAAGGAAAGCCATTGTTTCCCTTTTTCTAGGTTACTCGTTTGCCAGTGTAGCTCTTGTCTCACACACTTTTTACTCAGGGAACGTCTGCAGTGAATGAATAATGAATGTCAAGCAAGAGCGCATGTGCTCATTCATTGATGAGGGAAGCCATGGGTTAAAATTTAGGGCCTCGTAGAGAATAAAATAAAGTATGTTTAGAAGGGACTTATAGCAATAAGATAGTGCTTAGCATGATTTATGATGTGTCTTTAGGTGGAGATGATTTATTTCTTCTACCACCGTCATCATCATCCATAAATGTCATCAGTAGATCAGAGCAAGTTATGAATGTTAGGACCTGTCACCTGTCACATGTCTGTCTGTGTATTTATTGATAACCTTTCAGTTTCATGCCTACTTTTATTTTATTTACTGTCATAAGCCAAATTATCTATGGTGTTTTAGAATCACATATGCTAGGTAGAAAGTGAGTATTTGGAAAGAACTTAAATGAGTCTATTCATTTTTATGTTCACTCAGTTTTGGCAAGAAAACAGACCTGACTATGTGAACATCCAGCTGTACCTCAGTCAAACAGATGGGATACAGGTATGTGGCTGGATGTTATTGTTAGTTAAATGAGCCCCTTGATAACAGATTTACTAGAAGAGCTGTACTAGGAGAAAATTTCAGCAGGAGGTTTGAGCAGAAATGTCCTAGAGGAAAGCCTCTGTTGGCATCTATCCAAAAAACTTGTAGCTTGTCCTTGAAGTTGTGCCTATCCATTCTTCTCACAACAGGCTACCACAAACTTTTTGATTCCATCTTTTCTCTTTGGGGTAATGTCAAGTTCTTTGTCTCTAAGGAGAAATCAAACAATAAGTGAACAACGTTGTAATACCTTTTCCATAGAGGAAAGGCCTTCTATGGCGAGAAAAGATAAAGTCATACCTAGTTAACCTTAGTCCATCCCAGAGAAATCAAGCCACCATGCCTTATTTACTACAAGAGAGAGCATTCAGAGAATTTCCCATAGATCATTTTGTGTCATCTAAACTAATTGGAACAATGTCTGCAATTAGGCTCTATATTTTGATTGCAAACTAATGTTTAAAAATAACAGATAACAGAACTCAGGAGGCAGTGGCAGACGGATCTCTGTGAGTTTGAGACCAGCCTGGTCTATAAGAGCTAGTTCCAGGACAGCCTCCAAAGCCACAGAGAAGCCCTGTCATGAAAAGTATAAATAAATAAATAAATAAATAAATAAATAAATAAATAAATAACAGATGGCTGTATAAGGTGGTAAATAAATAAATAAATAAATAAATAAATAAATAAATAAATAACAGATTGCTGTTTAAGGTAATGAATCTTGGTGCAAATGTTTTTCCAGATTTAAAAAATAACTAGTGTGTGTGTGTGTGTGTGTGTGTGTGTGTGTGTGTGTGATTTCCCTCTGACTGTGGACTGTCAGTTAAGAAGCAGTGTTTATTCTTTGCAAGAATGAGCCATTAACAGTCATTGGTTGATAGGGTGAAAATGTAGAGCCTATTCTTTGCAAGAATGAGCCATTAACAGTCATTGGTTGATAGGGTGAAATTGAAGAGTTCTGTTGTCTTGGGAGGTCTTGTCTAGAGTTAGTCCCCTGAATTTGTGATAACAATTTGTGCTAATTTAGTCATATAATGAGAATAATATGACAATTGTACTTAGGTACAAAGATATGTCAATGACACTTCATTTAGAGTTCATTTAATTCTATTCAATGAATAGAATCATTCTTTATCTTACTTTAAATTTATCAAATATGAAGCAAATAACTAAAATCTAGATATATCAGCAATTTTAAAAATGGCATTCAAAAGGATCTGAATTTTAAAGGAAAAGAAAATGAATGTGACATTTTGAAATAGTTGTACTTCATAGATTTCCATTTCTTATCTTTTGTCACAGCAATTTGGAAGGAAGATATAGCCCAAGTGAATTCATGTAAGAGAAATGTGTTATTTATCTAAAGCTATGTCTTATAAAACACGTGCTTTATTTTTGACAGAAGATAATTGGAGAAAAATATCACACACTGAATTCTAGACTTATTATTGGACGTCCTCGTTGGAAGCTTTTATTTGATGAAATAGCAAAATGTAACCGAGGGTAAGTAATATACCTCATAAAGTTTACATATGACTGAAATCAAATTAAAATATTCCTGGTCCATCCCATGAAAAGTATACAGATGAGTTGCGAATATTTGTTGTTTACAAATAGCAAAGTTAGATAGTTAACACCCTAAATGCCAGGAATACTGAATAATTAAAAGTTGGTTTACATAGTTGATTAGACATACCTACCTACTTTTAAATCTGTGTACTCACTTTAACTTGGACATTTGTTTTCATAGTGGTTTCCAGACAATCTGGGTAAAAGATTTTCAATGTCATTTTGGTAAACAAAGGAATGTCACCAATACATCTAACAATAGTTACATTCAGAAATTACATTTTCGTACTTTGTTATCAGATTCAAATTTTTTCAAAGTTCTTATTTTAAGGTTAACTATTAAAACCAGAAGTATTCCCAAATACATTTTTTCCTTCTTACAAACTAGACTTATCAAGAATCTTAGTGTTATAGATGTGCCCATGATTTGAAGAAATAACTGTGGAAGGAAAGGCGTTTACATCAGAACAGATGAATCAGTCTGTGTCATTGAAATTCCCATAGTAAAGTGCATTAGCCATAAAATCCTGAAAGGAATTTTGAAAATCGTGTGCCCATGAACATCTAAGTTTGTAACATGAGTTTAATATTCTGATGTTTCATGAGTTGTACTGAAAATTTTGCAGATGTGGACATTTTGCAATTAATTACTTTAAACATATATACTGGAATAAAAATGTTAAATCCTTGGTTTTAAAAATGGTGCTTGAAAAAGCTCTTGGCTAGCAATTGGACATTGTACAACATTTCCTCTTAAACTTAAATTGCTGTTTATTTCATTAACCCATTGAGTTCTCTTAGAATCCAATTTAGTTTTACAACTGAAAAGCTTACACCTTCATTACTAAATTGATATTACTTCTGTATCAAATATACACACAAATTGTAATTTCATTTACAAAATACCCTATGAGCAGCTTGTTCACATGTTAATATTTTTCCTCTGACTTTAAGGTTGCAGTTACTAATATGAACTTTTCAATTAGTGATGTAGACATGCTTGGAAATGTGTATCATTGTGGAGGTATATCATTGTGAAAGAATTGTGTAGCACATACTTATATATTATTATGTGTTATTGTTAATAATAATTATAAACATTTTCATTATATTATATATAATTATTATATTATATTAACTATTAATATTATTATTATATGGTTCGTAGTATAGTCGAACTGTTTATATCAACTTCAGCACAAATTCATGAGCACTGTTCTGTACTTATGTATTAATGGCAGGGACAGCACAAGGGGGAGCTTTTAGTTCTGCTTCCATGGTATAGTAGCATATCATCTGTTTGATCAGTCTTTGAAAGCTCATTATGTAGTGCGTCAATGTAGTTGAATAATTCATAATTGTAAAAGTACATGTTGATATATACAGAGGCTATTTAAGCAAACATGCTTAAAATATGTGACATATCTCCAGTTCTCTATATATGTCTATCTATACATGTGTTTATTTAACTACACATACAATAGAGTCCAGTGTTCCTATTGCTGTAATGAATAAAGCAATATAAGGGTAAATGAATTATAAGAGAAAATAATGCATAGTAAACCAGACATGTCTTAGGTCGCTGTTTTACAGTAAATCTTGTTTTTTAAGTAAGTAAAAGGAATGCACTGTATAATAACAAAATGTGTAGTATAATAAATATATAAACCTACTAACATCATGGTCATTTACTATCAAGTATTATTATCATGCAAAATAAATTTTCATCACCAAAAACTTTGTAGTTCTGTTTCATGTATGGGACCACAGTCCTATGTGTGATCAATATTTGATAGAAATTTTATTTTTATATATGAATGTATATAAATGTCATTGAAATTTTTATGATTTTAAAAATGCATTTTGACATATATAGAAGGTATTGATTGTGCACAGGCCATCTTGTGAGAGAAAGAGCTTTAAAGAGGACCTCCTAGCCATGAATGCATGGATTGAAAAGATCAATAACAACAATAACACACAACCTTCAGACCAAGTAAAAGCTCAAGCTAGTCAAGCTGGGGTGTGGGGGGAGACAAATGGCCTCTGGCAGTGGATTAGTATTTATCCCTAGCATACAAATGGACTTTAGGAGTCCACTCCACATAGAGGAATACTCTCTCAGTCTAGACACACTGGGGAGGGTTTAGGCCCTGCTCCAAATGGTATGACAGACTTGAAGGATCCCCCATGGAAGGCCTCACCCTCCCTGGGGAGCAAAAAGGGGTTGGTATGGGATGGAGGGAAGGGAGGGGAACTGGGATTGACATGAAAAAGAAGCTTGTTTCGAAATTAAAATTGGCCTAATTATAATTATAAAAAATTTAAAAAGTAAACCACAAAAAAGCCTAAAAAAAGGAAGAAAGAAAGAAAGGAAGACAGAAAGAAAGAAAGAAAGAAAGAAAGAAAGAAAGAAAGAAAGGAAGAAAGAAAGAAAGAAAGAAAGAAAGAAAGAAAGAAAGAAAGAAAGAAAGAAAAGATCACTAACTCAATATGACCTCTGACTTCACCCTCAGAGATTTTGGTGTCGGAAGTCAAAGGAGCCAAACTTAGAAAGAATTAAAGCTACGCATGTGTTTCAATTTGAGGCATGTTTGAAATTCCTTCAGTTGCATTCTTCTTCCTTTGAAAAAGTACTTTTCAAAGGAAGAGAGAATGACTGTTTACTATTTCAAAGTGGAGATAATTTGTAAAATTCATGTGCCTAGTAAAGGTGAATAACTTAAAATTGTCAACCTCGTTTGAACACATTCTTTCACCTCATTCTCCAGTGTCACCTGCACTAGGTGTGATAATTTTGTCTTACTCACCTGAGCCTTGGTGCAGACACTACAGACATGTTCCTCATTATTATTTACTGAATTCTGGAAAAACATTCTTGCATTCTTTTCCATACCACATTGCTGAAAACTTTGTAAGTTTCCTTAGCTCAGATCTGAATCCAAACTCCAATGTATTGGCTCTCTTAAAGGAAATCGGGTTGAGATTATCAACTCTCTCCATTAGTTTGTAGGAATCATTATTTGTCATTAAATTGACATCTAAGAAAGACTGTGTTTATTTGTTCCTTTCTTGGGAAACTGGTGTGAGAAGAATGAATATGCACCAGCTACTGTTCACACTCTGCGCTGATCTTTGATGTGTGTATTTATTGTGAGACACGCATGTGAAATTAATTATTTTAATGAGTTTTATATATTATCCTTGGAATGATGAGTCAATATCTTAAGAATTTTCAGTGAATACTACAAAAATAGAAGGTTTCACTTATGATAAAACATTTGGTTAACCTCAAGCAAATCAGTCACTGAAACAACAAAATAAGAGATACCACAAATACATACATTTAGCTTTTTAACACTCTATGTTGGACAACCTTTTTATTTTTTAGAAAATGTTAATTTATTAAGTCAGTGGCATCCCTTTATTCCCTATATGATACAGTTTGAAAATTTAGGTGAAACTTTCTATGTCCAAGAAGTGGGAGCTCTTAATTCATTGTTAGGAACTCTTTTTTTTTTTTTGTATTTTTTTTATTAGTTCAGATTAGGAACAAGCTTGCTTCACATGTCAATCCCTTCTCTCTCTCCCTCTCCTCCCACAACTCTCCCCCCAAACTCCCACCTGCTCCCCACCCCATCTACCCTCCACTCCCCAGACTGGGTAGGGCCTTCATCATCTTGGGCCAGACCTAGGCCCTCCCCCATGTGTCCGGGCCAAGACTCAAAGTCCCTTCTTACACCAGGGAAAAATACTAATCCACTACCAGGGGCCTCCTAGAATGCAGAGGCCTCCTCATTGACATCCATGTTCAGGGATCTGGATCAGTCCCTTGCTGGCCTCTCAGACAGCAGTCTTGGGTCGATGTGTGCCCTCTTGTTCAGGCCAGCTGTTTCTGTGGGTTTCACCAGCCTGGTACCAACCCCTTTGATCTTCATTCCTCCCTCTCTGCAACTAGGTTCCAGAGTTCAGTTCAGTGCATTTCTGTGGGTGTCTGCCTCTGCTTCCATCAGCCACTGGATGGGGGCTCTAGGATGGCATAAAGAGTAGTCATCAGTCTCATTTAGAGGAAGGGCATTTAGGTTATCCTCTCCACTATTGCCTAGATTGTCAGTTCCTGTCATCCTTATAGGTCTCTGGAAATCTCCCTAGTGCCAAATCTCTCCTCAGACCTATAGTGGCTTCCTCTAATATGGTATCTCTCATCCTGCTTTCTCTCCTCTATTCTTCCCCCAACTCAACATTTCTGCTACTCCATTTCCTCTTCTCCCCTCCTCTTCTACTCCTCTCATTCTGGCAGCTCCCTCTCCCCTACCCTCATGCTCCCTTCACATTCTCAGGGGTCCTTCTTGTTTCCTAGTTTCTTTGGTGAAAGACACTTAATAAAGTGCTCAAAATCCTTGGCCATCAGAGAAATGCAACTCAAAACAATCTGATATACCATCTTACACTAACCAGAATGGCTAAAATCAAAACACCAATGACAATCTATGCTGGAGAGGATGTGGAGAAAAAGGAGCACTCTGCCATTGCTCATGGGAAGGCAAACTTATAAGACCACTTTGGAAATCAATATGGCGGTTGCTCAGAAAAAATGGGAATCAGTCTACCTCAAGATCCAGCAATTCCCCTCTTGGCCATATACCCAAATAATGCACGTTCATACAACAAGGACATATGTTCAGCCATGTTCATACCAGCATTGTTTGTAATAGCCAGAACCTGGAAGCAACCTAGATGCCCCTCAACGGAAGAATGGATAGAGAAAATGTGGTACATTTATTCAATGTCGTACTACTCAGCAGAAAAAAGCAATGGAATCTTGAAATTCACAGGCAAATGGATGGAACTAGAAGAAACCATCCTGAGTGATGTAACCCAGTCACAAAAAGACAAACATGGTGTGTACCATGTATGAATTTTAGACATAGAGC